AAAGTCTAAATTATAATCTTATCGTTAGTCATTCTAAACCCGCCCCATAATCCCCCACCTTGGGGGCATGGTAAAGTTCATCTCCTGTGGTTTAAAGCAGCTAGATCTGAGATTTCCCGGCGCCAGATCAGTTCAGTATAGTTATAATTTATGGCAAAACACTGAGATATGCCAGCTTTTGTGACGAAGTTTCAGCTTCACCAGTTGACTGTTAAGAATGAAATTCCACAAAAATCCAAATGTTTTATTGACAAACCAGAAAAGTCGGATGGTCGACAATAGAAGCACCTAAAAATAATCTTCTTGTCAAGAATACAAGGGCGTTAATAAATAAAAAAAAAGAGAGAAATTAACCTAGTCGGTGCGGTTTTCAGTTTTGAACTCTGGCGATTACTTATAGATATATCTCTGAATTACATCTAACCTCAGATTCGGTATTTTAACGGATCTTGTTAAACGTTTCATAAGAAAACAATTCTCTTGTTATGTAGACTGTTTTATTTATTAAAAACTTCTATCGTAATGTAGACTGTTTTATTTATTAAAAACTTTTATCGTAATGTAGACTGTTTTATTTATTGAAAAATTATCTTGATACGTAGACTGTTTTGTTTATTAAAAACTTCTATCGTAATGTAGAATGTTTTATTTATTAAAAACTTCTATCGTAATGTAGACTGTTTTATTTATTAAAAACTTCTATCGTAATGTAGAATGTTTTATTTATTAAAAACTTCTATCGTAATGTAGACTGTTTTATTTATTAAAACTTCTTTCGTAATGTAGAATGTTTTGTTTATTAGAATATTCTATCATTACGTAGACTGTTTTGTTTATTAGAATATTCTATCATTACGTAGACTGTTTTGTTTATTAGAATATTCTATCATTACGTAGACTGTTTTGTTTATTAGAATATTCTATCATTACGTAGACTGTTTTATTTATTAGAATATTCTATCATTACGTAGACTGTTTTGTTTATTATAATATTCTATCATTACGTAGACTGTTTTGTTTATTGGAATATTCTATCATTACGTAGACTGTTTTGTTTATTAAAAACTTTTATCATTACGTAGACTGTTTTGTTTATTAAAAACTTTTATCATTACGTAGACTGTTTTGTTTATTAGAATATTCTATCATTACGTAGACTGTTTTTTTATTAGAATATTCTATCATTACGTAGACTGTTTTGTTTATTAAAAACTTCTATTCCGACTCTTATTGTTCTGAACGTGTTTTCATTACGTTTTTTTATTAAAATTTGTTTGCCTACGTTCTTATTTGATAAAATTTGTATTTTTGATACGATTGAACAAATAACTAACCATAAAACTCTGTGAAATTACACAAAAATACACAAAGTATAAATCAGAAAAAGGTCAAAGCAGATTTTTTAAAGTCCAAAATCCAAAGCCTTTCTAATTATCATTAAGCACCGAGTTTAATGTTCAAAGGTAGCAGAATTTACAATTTACAATAATCGTTTATATGAAAAACCAGAGGCGTCGCTAGGCATTGGCACACGGAGCCCGTGCCCCGAACGCCTAGTTGGTGTCTTGAAAAATCAGAATAGAAAAACCACGATCGATATCATGGTGAAACGCCGAAAATTTCCGCGCCCCGAATCTTTTAAGCACCTAGTGACGCCTCTGTGAAAAACACAAATAAATACTATTATCGATTAAATACTATTATCGATTAAATACTATTATCGATTACATACTTTTTCTTTATGATAAAGTCGAGTTATACATTTACTCAATGTAACAACAGCACCGAACAAGGAGTTGTTGAAATAATAATATTAACAACAAGCGATACCAAATTTCACACGTGAGGAACGAAATACGGTATGGTCTTCATCAACCAGATATTTTTCTATTATTCTTAATGTCTTATATTTAACATTATTTTCAAACTGTCATGCTAATATATTACATCCTGGATTAGTAGTATTTTTATATTGTTGTTGACTGATTAAATGAAAATAGTTGGTACAAATTCATCAATAGGAAATAAACAAGCAAATTTCGACACATATCGTAAATAATATCGGTCACCGAAACGATTTAAACAGACAACAAAAAATACCGTAGGGCAATGTAATTAAAGGGTATTGATATTTTGTATTCGGGGTACATTTTTGGGTTCGTCTGTATTCTTTAAAGCTGCTGAATAAACATTTATGAGTGTAAAGTTATGGTTGGTTAGCCACACTTGTAACGACTTCGTATTCCTCTCTGATTCAATGAATTATTATTATTATTACCAGTTTATAATCCATGATATTTTGATTGGTTTAAAAGCACTTTGGACATCATAGTGAAGGAAAGTTCTAGTGAAGCCCGCGGTGTGAAAGTTAAATGGACATCATAGTGAAGGAATGTTCTAGTGAAGCCCGCGGTGTGAAAGTTAAATGGACATCATAGTGAAGGAAAGTTCTAGTGAAGCCCGCGGTGTGAAAGTTAAATGGACATCATAGTGAAGGAAAGTTCTAGTGAAGCCCGCGGTGTGAAAGTTAAATGGACATCATAGTGAAGCCCGCGGTGTGAAAGTTAAATGGACATCATAGTGAAGGAAAGTTCTAGTGAAGCCCGCGGTGTGAAAGTTAAAGAGAAAGGGGAAAAAAAACAAAAAAAACTTCAAGGCCTATATTTCAACAAGCTCATACACTTGGTGACGCTTCTCATACTATTTTAAGCCTCTCTCAACGTATCTGTTACATTCAACAGCCAACTAGTCAGGGATGAACCTACGTATTTTATGTTTCTTTGTCTGTTTATCTAACTTGAAAACTCGTCTTCGTTAACTCACATTTCTAGCCAGAACACTTAGGACCTGTTTGAAAAAAAAACTGTGGCTGCTAGTATTAACTACATTATAATCAATACAAAAATCCTAATGAACAAAAGGAACGGGAGAGCTATGAAGAGAAAGAAATAAAACAATGTAAGGCAGTTCACGTGCGAAAATAGAACTTCTTGGTACATAACTGAAATATTCACACGACACACAATAATCAATTTAGTCAGTTATAATAACCCACCTTCTACTTCATATAAGCAAATTAAAGATACTAGAATTTACCTGTGATCATTTTTTTACAAGTGTCCTGTCACTTAACTGCCAGTAGCTTACTCGTTTGACCACTGATGAATTTAGTCAAACGATTTAACTCATTATAACTATGTTATATACCTATAGAGCTATATACATAGCTGTACAGTGTTAAGCGTCGGAAAATATTTGGCCGATTATCCAAATGTGATGCATTACCAGATGAAAGCAATGCAGGTAAGATAATCAAATGTTACTTTATTAAACATGTAAAATAATTTTATGTCAGCTTACTCTATACTTCAGCTAAAACCTTACGTAATTGTACTTTATTAAACATGTAAAATAATTTTATGTCAGCTTACTCTATACTTCAGCTAAAACCTTACGTAATTGTACTTTATTAAACATGTAAAATAATTTTATGTCAGCTTACTCTATACTTCAGCTAAAACTTTACGTAATTGTACTTTATTAAACATGTAAAATAATTTTATGTCAGCTACTCTATACTTCAGCTAAAACTTTACGTAATTGTACTTTATTAAACATGTAAAATAATTTTATGTCAGCTTACTCTATACTTCAGCTAAAACCTTACGTAAAAGAACTGGGAGCGTTTTATCATATGACACCCATGATTAAAAACATACCTTCAAAAGCAACATTTTAAACATTCTCAGTGATTCCCTAAAAGCTTACTTGAATTAACAAGATAACTTTAATATATTTTTAATTCATTACAATTCTTCTCGCTGTTGTACCAACATTTCTCGGCGTGTACCTACGTGATATACATGAATACCGGTTAAATCGATTGTTGTTATGTGCTTTTCATACTTAAAACTTGTCTGCCTTGGCGTCACGATGAGGAAATTCTTTGCTGCAAACGCGTCTTACTGAAGGCATACAGTATCGCGATTTCTCGATTAAAACAGCTATGTTTCATCGTTTTATTATGCATTCTTTCAACTCTTTACGTACGTTTTAACTGACACATTTAAAACAAAAACGCGTTTCGTCAATACAAGTATTTATTTCTCCTGATTTGACAGCATAAAACTAACCCAGAGAAACAGCTTCCAAACGATGTGTTGACTAACGTTAACTAGATACTCAGCAGATCAACGTATGCAGAGATGCTCTTGTTTAATGAGGCTTGACAAAATTCACACGACGCGTAATTATTTGTTTTGAATAAATGTTATAAAATATAATATTTATTTATTTGAAAGGTTACTACTTTTCTTAGATTTCTTAGGTGAACGGTATTTAACTAGCAAGTAAATGTCTTGTTAGATGACTTCCAAGTAAATTAATCGCCAAGAACAAAGCATTTGCTAGCGATAATGTTCTCTCTGATAGATTTTTATACTTTCAGTTATTTGATGACGACACCTTTAAGTTTTTCATAAACTTAAAAGTAAATAATAATAAATACACGTGCATTCTCTTTCAGATAATAGAGCATATGCTTTCACGTCAAACGTTCTAATTGTAACCATATAGAAAAACGCCCGGGGCAGCTGGACCAGAGAGTCAAATCTAAAAGGCCGTTACAAAACGGGCGACTAGGCGTCACTCACGAGCGCTCAACGCGGGACCCTGCACACACGGATGAAGTATGGCAGTAAAGATACGAGCGACTGCATGTATGATGCTGTCAAAATTTTCTCAAAGTACAACAGACATTATCCAACGTAAACTTGAACCATGTAGTATATATAAACTAGTAGTACAACGAATGAAGAAGTCAAAGTCCACTTTTTAGCTGGTTTGGCCACGTCTAACTGGGGTTCTGGAGTGGAACGTTTGAAATATGTGAGGGATTTGAGTCGTACAGCGCACGCAAAATGGAAGTTTTCAGTTCATTTATACAAAAAAATTAGCAATTCTAGGAACGCACAACAGAGAAATATAAACAATGTACTCACAGGTGAAAGTTTTCAGCTACAGCAAACAAGGCTGATTGGATTTTGGACGGCTTGAACTCCTGTAGCCACAAGACCAAGCGTCTACTTGGTATGCGAAGAATGGCACAAAGAATCTGTACTACGCATCTCGCTAATGCGCATCTCTACTGCGCAAGGGTGGAGAAAACGTCTACGTAACATCCGCCAAACAAATGTATACGACGCGCTCGTCACCTGGAGCTGTGGCCCACGCGAATGATAATAAACGGAAAAGTTTTGAAGTTGGCCAGTAAACGTAGTCGTTGGCTGCTTGGCGCGCTTTCAGAAACTTCGTCAATTGTATCATCAGCTGCAAGGAAATAGTAGCTTCCAGGATGAATTCAGGGAATAAATGTAAACATCGTATCATTGTTTGCACTTTGTTTTAAATTTCAAAGTAAAAACAAACTTGACTTAAGACTCTAGTGGTTACATTAATTTTGCATATTATCAGTTGGGCGTTTTAGGATTCCTGTTATCATTATCACAACACACCCATTATGAATAATTACGCTATTTTCTTACTGTAACACCTGGTGTTCGTTACTATTTCTAATTAAACATGTTAAACAAAGTTGAGATACATATTTTTATCTTCTAAACGATAAAGACGAAAAGAAAAAATCTTTGCTTTTAAATAAATTTCGTTATTTATGTTTGTTTGAAAGGATTCGCTTGTTTAATCTAAATAGCCTTAACAAAATAGTGTTCATTTCCCAAATCATAACAGGAATAGCTTACAAGGCTAACGCTAAACATACAGTAAGGCGAGTAAATCTAATTTCTTACGTTGCCCAATACACCATAAATCTTCGACAGTATTTGCAGCTAACAGCTAGGATTTGTGTGTTCCTATGTAAGGAACGTTGCTTTTATTAACAGTATTGGTTAATATGTTAAAACATCTATTATTATTATTATTTTTAGTTAGTTTGTTTTTTATTATCATACTTTTGTTATATTTTTTTTGCAGTGTTAGCTTAGTATATAGACTTAGGACTAACCTAAATCTCCTAAGGTAGCCGAACCTCGTGAGATATTACTGAGTTTATGGCCGAAAATATCGTTAACAGCGAGGGCGCCTAGCTAATGAAACAACACATTCTAATATTTTTAAATAATAACATAAGAAAATTACTTTTAATTAACTATATTCAATCCCAGATTGATTTTTAGTTTTACTCGAAATAGCTAGAGTGCTCTGATCGGAAGTTAATATCAAATAAAGAATGTTGAAATATTTATTATATATTCAGAATTCGATTTCTAACTCTATTTATTAAATACCGTATTTTAGACATAGATTTATTAAGAGTAAATCAAAGTCCAATAAAGAACAGTAGCATCACATACAAACATATTAAATCTTGGAAATTCCAGAACTTTCAAACTTTACCATCGACGACCAACAATAACAAATATCAAGAATGTACGATACAAAATACAAATAAGCAACCAGCACAGTGGGTTAAGATAAATAATTCAAAAACTGTAATATAGAAAAACAGCATTAAAATATAGTAATACATATAAAAGTTAGCAGTCACCCGATGGGTCAGCAGTAAGTTTACAGATTTAGAACACCGAAATCCAGGGTTCGTTTTACCGCGGTAGACAAAGTGGAGAGAGCCCATTGTGTAGCTTTGCGCTGACAAAACAAAATCGAAGGTTAGCATCACAAAACTAAAAAATAAATATCAAAGTAATTACTTTTTAAGTAAAGAAAACCGAAGAACTGAAGTTGTGTTCCTGTAAATTCAGAAATGTTGGAAGATTTAATATGTTTATAGCTGTTTATGTTTTATATTTGCTAAAGCCTAGTGTCTTAGCTCAGTTTAAACATTGATGTCCGAACATAAGTGGTAACTAGATTTGAACCATGTCGTGTGTTGACACAAAATGAAAACGTGGAAATAACATACTCTTACGGTAAATTTGTAAGGATAGCACGTGAGTCATTGTCATTGTTAGTATTCTGTACAAACATCTACATCTAAATTAAATAATATCGCCAACTTATTTATATATTTTTTATTTAAAAGAAGGATGACGTTTCGAGCTAGCGCTCTTCTTCAGATCGTACAGTTTACAACAAACTGTACAACAACTAACAGCTTTATATCCTACGTTTCGGTTGTTGATCTGCTGCCGTTTCTAGGAAGTCAGAACTATATGTGGTAGCAGGATCCGGGATTCGATCATGGGTCTTCTCATTTTAAAGTTCAATTTAATATTCACTCATAAGTTAGTAACCACAGCAACGATGAGAATACTACTACGTATATCTTTTGTAATACGAGTAAAACCGGGATTCGATCATGGGTCTTCTCATTTTAAAGTTCAATTTAATATTCACTCATAAGTTAGTAACCACGGCAACGATGAGAATAATACTACGTATATCTTTTGTAATACGAGTAAAACCGGGATTCGATCATGGGTCTTCTCATTTTAAAGTTCAATGTAATATTCACTCATAAGTTAGTAATAATGGCAACGATGGGAATACTACTACGTATATCTTTTGTAGTACGAGTAAAATTGGAAATTTCTTATCGAGCTTTTATTAAAGCCTGAGAATGTAGAACCAAATGAACTAAAAGTAAGCTATGCTTATAAAGAGAGATGCACAAATCATGTTTTTAAAACTATTTTGAATAAAATACTTTTAAACACTATATAATATAGCACTTTGTACTTTCTTACTTCGGACTCTGCGGACTCACACTGCTACAAACCGGGTTTCGATACTCGTGGTGGGCACAGAACAAATAGCCCATTGTGTAGCTTTGTGCTTAACAACAAACAAACAAACAAACTATCTTTAATAATATGTTAAGTTTTACAGAAAATTCAAAACTCTACAAAGAACAAAATACAGAGTTGTACTCTCTCCTTCTTACTCCTACAAGAAACGGGAGTTGTGAAGATAGATTAGATCATGCCCATGTTTCTCATTACGGGAGTTGTGAAGATAGATTAGATCATGCCCATGTTTCTCATTACAGGAGTTGTGAAGACAGATTAGACCATGACC